TCGCCGGAAATAGAGTCATCAGTGTCCAATGTGTAGTGAGCCAGAGCCAGGGTCCTTACCAGTGCCTAAATTATTGTACACTATAGAGCAGGGGTGGGGAACGTTGATCCTGGAGGGCCATTGCCCTGCAGAGTTTAGCTCCAACCCTGAAAAAAACACTCACCTGCCTGTAACTTTAGCAATCCTGAAGACCTTGATTAGCTTCAGGTGTGTTTAATTAGGGTTGGAGCTAAACTCTGCAGGACAATGGCCTTCCAGGATCAAAGTTCCCCACCCCTGCTATAGAGTATGGTTCACAACCTAGGGAAATAGTGATTTGACGCACCCTAAACAAGTGACGAGTCATTGAATCATCTAATCGATTGAAACAAGTGACAAGAGTTTTTATCAGAGTCACTGGAGGATTCATTCAAGCGATTCGTTCAAACAAACTGATTCACTCAGGAACACCTGTGTTTGAGTCTAATCTCCATTACAGTGAGTCACACAAGTAATTACACTTTTTTTTTGCAACTGTTGATGCAGTTTCAGAATGCACAAACTTAAAAATAACAATAATGAAAAAACCCTGAAGACCCTAAATCTGATCGACAGTTAATTCAAGTTAAAGTGTTTTTGTAGCTTAGTCTCCTGCTGCTGTCTGAAAGGATTGAGGAGTGACTCAGAAAAATGACATTAACAGGCACAGCTGCAAAAGCAGGGAAAACAGTGAGAAAACACACTCAAAATAGCCTCTCGTTACCGCAGTCTGCAGCACAGACCAACAAACCCAATCCATCTGAATGCTACTGGTCAGACTGCATAAGAGAAGGCTAAAAGATGACCATTTAGATCTGATGCATTATTTCACAAAGTTGTATCTTAACCATATCTAGGCCTGCTCATAACATGGGATGGGCGTGATACCTTCCCCAGATCCCCAGGCACACAGACAGGAGAACCAAACACTCACTCAAAGGAAGCAGGCAGAGGCCAGTGCTCTACAGGATGTGGCCAGCTCCACCCCACATAGCATGTCCCAGAGCAATAACCAGACAAAATGAGGATCAAACAACGATTTATACATGTGCTGACAAATTCCAGACTCATATATATTGGGCTGTTCTTGCATTAAAGTGCTTAGTGCACATCTTCCATTCGGTTTCATCAAGTTTCCTTTCCTCTGGCTTCCTCAGTTTTTGATCTACGTTAAAAGTTTCCAACTCCTCAGAACTTACCCTTTCTCTCGCTTTTACTCAGTATCTCCATTTCTAGGTTTCTGTCAGACACAAAGAGGTCTCTCATTCAGACAGTGCAGTGTAAAGCGTGAGGTGATTCCGTGGGAAAGGCTCTTGGCAGACTGGGAGCTTCCTGACTGATATCATTTCTGGAGTTTTGGACTGGATACCGAACGATCGTCCACAGAGAAACACAATTGCCGCAACTTGCCCATCAAGCTATTATTATCCTTTTCTCATATTTTTTAGAAAAGGTCTAGAGCAGGTTATCATGATAAGGAGAGGTTTTGAGTGCAAACCCTCTTTGATCCAGGTTTACATTTGTTGCTTTGATTTCTGTAAAACATAGCCTAACCCCTCCCATCCAAGACAACTAACCTGTTTGAAAGTTTTTTAGATACCAAAATAGCAACACTGAAGAAACCAAACAAGTTTTATTGCTAAAGCTGGATTCCAGCCACATCACATCATCCAAACTATGAGGTATGAGGATGTATGCCAGTTAAAATGAACATATAAGTAAACATTTCTATAAATATAGTGCTTGTATCTGGAAAAAAAGCTCAGTGTTCCATTATGCAAATTTGTTTAAAGGTACAAGTTCAATACATCATTTGGTGTATAATATCCATAACTATACAAAAGTAAATAAAGAACGTATAGTAAGGCACTTACAATAGAATTTAACAGATTGTGAACCTCAAATTTTTGTTAAAGCACTAAGCTCTCCCATAAAAAGTGTTGTCTGAGCTGAGCTGTACAGTTGTAACATCTGTAGGTGTTGTTGCTAGTTCATCAGCTTCACCTGCCACCGGGTAGCAGAAAGCCCTTGTTTACATTGCTTCTGGCTGGTGCAAGTATGCTTTAAATGGTAAATCCAAATCATTTTCTGTGGTAATTGACATTATGACACAAAAGCTGCTGGTTGAGCTTATCTGTTTTGAAGCTGAAACATTCCTCTAAGAGAAAATGAGGTTTGCATGTGCTGACTACAGTCTCGCTTCAGTGGGAAAGAGAGATAAACCATTAGATCTTGTTCAAATAAATCACACTTAAGAAGCAGACATGTGAAGCCAGCTCCTCTTACCTAACCTGTGTGGCTTACTCTACTTTAATGTATCGCTTCCAGGATCTCTTTCATCATGTATTCTTCCATTATTTAGTATTTCCCTATTCCTACAGAACATAAAGAGAAGACATTTTTTTTTCACCACATTTTCAGATGCACAGCCAGGCAAAATTGGGCAAGACTGGAATGCGAGTTCGTTCTTTTTTTTTTTTGAGTTGTTTTCGTGATGGGAAGATTTTCTTGTCAGCATTATCTGCTTCAAAACAGCACTAGTCCCAATGGATCTCAGTGTTTCAAATATCTGAGGTTTACTCTGTGTTTGAACCTTCAATTGGCTCACAAAATGTAAACTAGGCAAAAAATATCCAGTGTGCATACAAAAGTTTGGGGTCGGTAGGAAAGAAGTCTCTTATCCTCACAAAGGCTGCATATATTTGATCAAAATACAGTAAAATAGTAATATTGTAAAAAAGATTACAATTAAAAATAACATTTGGAATTTTCAGCAGTCATTACTCCAGTCTGCAATGTCACATGATCCTTCAGAAATCATTCAAGTATACTGATTTGGTGCTTAAGAAACTTTACTTATTATTATCAATGTTGAAAACAGTTGTGATGCTTCATATTTTTGTGGAAACTGAAATGGATCTATTTTGTTTTCCAGAAAAAAATAGCAGGGTTTATTTGAAATAGAAATCTTTTGAAACATTATTGATGTCTTATAAATTATTATTATTATTATTTTTAATACTGACCCCAAACTTTTGAACAATAGTGTATCATAAATTAATATAAACAAGTTGAAAAGTAAAGGAAGCAACAAGCAAGGACATTTAAGTAAAAAAAGAAATACTGAAATTATGTGCACTTTGACAGCAAAAAACACTACAATATCACACTGTGCGAGTTATTGGCTTGTTTTCAAAATGCTGTGGTTAATCTAAATCTGATATTTCATTACCTCATTATCTCTCTAACTTTACATTCATTGCTCTGATCGGCTGACCACGGGAGAACGTTGCATTTATTTCAAAGTTGTCAAGCCATTTAATCACATTCAATGAAATCAGTGTACAACTCTCAATACTGTCAGCAGGCACTCAAATTATGCTGACAAATCACAGTACACAGAAATACCATAATGAAGACACCTCAGTCACGGCTGACACCTCAGCATTTGAGTAAAGTTCAGTGGTCGCATAAGCAATTCCGGCAAACCGCAGCTTAAAGGAAACAAGACTGGTGTCATGTAGAAAATATAGCTAAACAGATCAAAACATTCTCTTGCCAAACTAATCCAATGGCAGTCACTGCACAACTCTGAAATTTTTGTCAAGTGACGCATGTTCTGCTCAAAATCAGTTAAGTTACTTCCCTTTGCCTGAGACTAATCCTCTTAACAGGCCTCAGAGCCACTGCTGAAATATTGGTGGGGAAGAAACGAAAAGTCTGGTGGGAAAAATCAAGTTAGAAATGAATGCCATCAATTTTTCTGACAGTAATAAAGTGATAATTAATGCATACTGTTAAGTACAAATGGTGGATAAGTATAAGTAATCACACACAATATCATAGGGACTTTCCATTGTTTTCTATTATACAGGCTTGTTGCTTTTCTATCCTTTAACACTATCCTTTAAGACATTATTTAGTATGTTTAATAAGTTATTTTCCTCATAGGCGTTGTTGGCTTTTTTTTTTTTTTGGATTTCAGGTTTTATGATCAGGGGACATTTGGTCCACATACTCCATGCAATACAAGCAAAACTGTGACACACACTTCCAAATGCTAGTTTTAAGGGATGCCAAATATATTTTACAGCTGCCTTACATTTTGATGTAATCACTGACATTGTACATTGTGTACAAATGAGGACAGTACACTGATGCTACTAACTTGACCCCTAAACTACTTCCCTCACACAAAGTTCACAATGGAGCATATGAGGAAGTGCATGCAGTTTTCCAATGCGAATATGATATGATCTTTTAAAACATTTTTAGCGTGAAAACTTTGAAAGTGCATATTCTAATCATACAAAAATACAATGTTCAGTGCTCTACTAAAGCTGAGCTTGAGAAATCCACATAATTACTGTTTATATATATATATATTTAATGAGAAGTAGGCTAGCCTATATGAATGTGTCAAAACCTAAGCTGACTCACTCATGACAACATTTTGTGTATCGATAAGCTAATATAGTAGCCTACAGTGATCCTACAGTTTTTACAGGTCTTGTAAATTCTGGACCTTCATTGAGACCATCCTTAAGACTTTCAAAACATTATGATGACATTCAAAAACACAACATCACATTAACATCACATTTATGTTCCAATAAGACCATTTTGTGTCACTGTACACCGTAAACTGTACGTTAGCTACTTCAAGCCTACCGGCTGGCAACAACTAGTTTTTGATTCATGACAACAAAGGCAGGTGGTACTAAACAGAATTCACCAAACTATCCTTATCAGTGTTAACTGTTAACCCAACATAGACCTATTTAAAACATTACTATCACGGCTAATTACGTGGTAATAAAACGTACATGCATAAAATAGGCGAAAATATATAAATATTATTTACGCTTTAACATATGAGACTTGTAGGCTGGGCTACATCTGACACTTAGGTGTTAATAAATAAATAAAAATAAACTTTAATAACTCGCCATAGACTTGCGGTAATAAAGTGTGAGACTCACCTCGACGGCTCGAAACCAAAACACCGGCTAACAAAAGCACATTTACGCATTTATAAGAGCTGGATGATGTTTCCCCAAAAGCTCAGTTGCTGTTAACAGTTCTTAGATGTTCCTACATGACCGATGCAAGGTTGTGTCCTTGTACTTCGCAAGAAAGACTCTTCTAACTCATAGCTGTGTTAAAGCATGCGACCTCTCCCGGCAAAAACAAACTCCAGGAGGAGAACAAAAGTTGATGTGCATTGAGTTTCACGTCACGTGTTCCAGCTGGGAAATGTCTCTGGAAGGAAAAAGCCTTTGTTAGACTCAGGAACCATGTTAATCAGAGAAGAACATGAAAGAACCGGAAAGGCAGTGGAAAACTATGGAGGCAAATCGAAAATAAACAATTTAAAAGTAAATCAATTTTCACTTTAAACCTCAGTTGCTTTATTAAAGCAAAGAAAACAGAGCAAAATCTACTAAAATATCACTTATGTTTTGATATTACAAATAGACTGTGTTAATTGTAATTTCCAATCAAAAGGTGTTTTCAGGATACGAAAAATACCAAGTATAAAATTGGCCTTATGAGTAGGCCAAGACATTTTATTACATCTAGGTAATTTCCGTAATAGGCGATTAAACAATATAGTTTAATACATACAACAATACAAAAATAACCTATGCAATGCTACTGAACACCAAAATTACATTTCAGAGAAGAACAAATAATAATTGGAATAACAGTGTGCACACCCTGAACTAATAGAGTACAATTCTCCCACAACTCTAGACAGAGTTACTAAACAAAACAAGACATTCTGATAAATGTTAATTGCAGTCAATTTATGCATTTAAAATGTTCAATAAATATGAATGAATAATTTAATCAGTTTGAATAAATGATTCAATGTCTCAGTCATAAAGACTTCCACTTGTTTTATTACTGGATGAATTAGCATTTTTTTAAACGAATCTCTCGAATGCAGTAGTATGTTTCTGCACAACCGGAGGCTGCAGTTTCAGGACCCTAGTTTTTTGTGACAGCGCCACAAAATGATTCCTTGAATGATTCAATGACAAAAACGTTTTTTTAAGTCACTGTCGCCATCTGGTGGCGTATTGGCGAAACTATGTAATTGATACGATCGCCATTTTCAGCACCATGTTGCTTTCAAAATGGGTTCCCTTTCGAGAGGTTCCTCCTATTGCGTAATAGCTTACGCTATGGGAAAACTCCTTTTCTGGAGAAATATTGAAGTCTTTATGTAAAACGCATTGCAGCTGCACAGCATACAGGAAATGAGCGAGGCAGCTCGGTCATTGGCTGTGCTGCGGCAACTGCACGAACCTATGACGGGGCGACTCTGAACCCGCTTCCAATGAGCGTGCTTCGCGCCCACGCGCGTCAGAGCCCGCCAAGATGGGCGTGGCCAAGGGCTATATATTGGGCGCCCCGTCGTCTGAGTTCTTTAGATTTAATCTCCTTCAGCAAAGAACCTTCTCTTCGCTGGATCCTCCGGATTTGTTGGAGTCTTTTCGCCGCCGCCGTCGACAAGCCTACAGCAGGACTGCTTCGAGGACGCCGGCGCCTTCAGCCGCCTTCGATCGCCTTTCTGCTAAGCCATCCGGCGCGCATCATCTTATATCCTTTTTCAAAGCTTTCAGTGTTCGCCCCCGCGACACTTTCTAAAAGAGCAAATTAACAAGGCGTTGTTTCAAATGCCTTCCTGCGCCTCGTGTCGAGGCCCTCTTCAGGACGGGGATCGTCACATCATTTGCGCCCGCTGCTTGGGACCGGACCACGCAGAGGCTGCCCTTACTTGAGGCGGATGTCCCGAGTGTGACGCCCTGGGCCTCACCGAGCTGCGCGCTCGCTTCGCCGTTTTCACCGCGAAAGAGCCCAACTCCTCCCTGCTGCCATCTCCTCTGGTCAAACCGCGCAAGAAAAAGCGCCGCTCACAGAGGCCGCCGGAGCACGCGGTTTGCAGTGATGTCACGCCGGGCCAATCCCCGCGTGCTTCACCACCACCCGAAGACTCCCCGCCACCAGTCCAGTTCACACAGGCGGACCAGCACCCCTCCAGCGGAGCGATGGGGCTCGTCTCGTTTGGCGCGTCAGGGGATGACGATGACAAGGATGACAGTTTTTCCGGTGATGCTGCATCCGACGACTGGCCGGGTTCGTCGTTCGACCCCGCGCCATCGACATTAGCGGGCACGAGCGCGGGCTCCAGCATGGACTTGGAGATCGTCCGCATCCTGTCTAAGGCCGTGGAAGACCTCGGGCTCGATTGGTCTTCCCCGGAAGAACCCGCCCGCAGCCGACTGGACGAGTGGTTCCTGCAGGGGCGCCGACAGGCCCCTCGACAAAGGCCCTCCCCCTTCTTCCCGGAAGTTCACGACGAACTCACGAAGTCGTGGAAAGCCCCGCACTCCGCTCGCCTGAAGCCTTCTTTTTCTTTGTCGCTCTCCTCTGTGGACGGCGCGAAAGAAAGAGGCTATGAGGGGACTCCGCCCCTCGAGGAGGCTGTGGCCAATCATCTGTGTCCACCCTCCAACGCTGGATGGAAAGCTAAAGCTTCTCATCCCTCGAAGCCTTGCCGGTCTACTTCGGCTCTCGCCGGTCGCGCATACGCCGCCGCCGGCCAAGCTGCATCAGCGCTTCACTCTATGGCTGTCCTCCAGGTGTTTCAAGCTAAACTTCTCCGCAGTATGGACGAGTCTGGACCCGATCCTGAGGCTTTCAAGGACCTGCGCAGCGCCACTGACATAGCGCTACGAGCTACAAAAGCCACCGCTCAATCCATCGGCCGTGCTATGGCTAACCTGACTGTGCTTGAGCGCCATCTGTGGCTGACGCTAACAGAAATGAAGGATGCAGATAAGGCGCCATTTCTCGACGCGCCTATCTCCCAAAGCGGCCTGTTTGGACCAGCGGTGAAGGAGTTCGCCGAGCACTTCACCGAAGCCCGTAAGGACGTGCAGGCTATGCGTCACTTCCTGCCCAAGCGATCTAGCTCATCGCAGAGCCGCCAAAGGCCGCCTCAGCAGCAGCGAGCTAAGACGGCGCCTCCCGTCTCTCAGCCCAGACCTGAAACGGATTTTCGACGCCGCTCGCGCTCTGCCAACAGGAAGCAACCGCCCGAGCGACGGGGACCTCGGCCCAAGATTGTGCTGAACCCAGAGCCTCGTAAGTCCTCCTAGCTACAGGGAGAAAACGGGGGAGCGCGTGTCTCGCAAGAGCCGGACCGTTCTCTCCAAAACGTTTAAAACATTACCCAGTCCCCTTACAGGCGGCTGGAAATGTCTATACAGCAGCCAATGTGCCAGCCACACAGCTCGCCCACCTGCAAACAAACGCCGTTTTTACGGCGACACACAGAAATCACATAAAGAGCCATTTTCTGCCTGTGTCATTAAAGGGTCACGTGTCCACACCAAAGTGCGAATTCCCACATATCAAAACTGTCAACGCAGTGCCAAATGTTTTCCCAGCTCAAGCTGGACGCCCCATAAATGTAGATTGTGTGCCAACTGTCACGTATGCACCACTACACATAAGCACTGTTCCCACAGTTATAAACACTTCCCCAGTAAAAGCGGGAAGTTTTATAAGAGTAGCGCGTGTGCCCGCTGTTATGCACGCACCCCAACTCACAAACACTGTTTATATGACCAAAAACCTCCCGCCACGAGCGGGAAGTTTTATGAAAGTGGCGCGCGTGCCTACCACAGTCCATGCACCCCCACCCATAAGCACTGCCCATACAGTGTTAAACATTTCCCCATCTCACTCTGTGAGCATTACGGCGAGCGTGCCTGTAATCTCACACGCACCCCTGCACTCGGCATTCAACAAAGCTGCTCAGCGCGCGCCCGCGCCTCTGAGAGCTGTAAGCTCAGTATTAGCACAGGGCGATTCGCTGGCGGGAGCCATACGTCACTGCGACACGCCCCCAGCCAGCATTCAGCCCATATCTGTGCGAGCGAAAGCTTGGGAAAATATCCCAGACATGCCGAAATAGGTTTTGAACATAATAAAACACGGTTACTCGCTTCAATTCGCTCGCAGACCGCCCCGCTTCACAGCAGTGGTCGAGACGAAAGTGAGAAAAGATGTTTCACATGTTCTACGCACCGAGATGCTCAAACTGATAGAGAAAGGCGCTATAGAGACAGTCCCGCCCTCTATGAGCGAGGCAGGTTTTTACAGCCGCTATTTTCTCGTCCCGAAGAAGGATGGCGGTCTCCGCCCCATTCTAGATCTCAGGCATCTGAACAAAGCTTTAATGATTCGCTCGTTCAGAATGTTAACAACCAAGCATATCCTCGCGCAAGTTCGCCCAGGGGATTGGTTTCTATCAGTGGATCTGAAAGACGCTGACTTTCACATTCCGATAGCGCCTCATCACAGGCCTTTTCTGAGATTCGCTTTCGAGGGACAGTCATACCAGTACCACCATTCGGCCTGTCACTGGCACCCCGTACATTAACGAAATGTATGGATGCAGCACTTTCCCCCCTGAGACAGCGGGGAGTGCGAATACTAAATTATCTCGACGATTGGCTAGTCCTAGCACAATCAGAGAGCCAGTTAGTGACACACAGGTCTTGGATTATCAGTCACCTAGATTGCCTGGGTCTAAGAATCAATTTTGCAAAGAGCATGCTATCCCCCAGCCAGAATATTTCTTTTCTGGGAATAGTGCTAGACTCAGTGCAGATGACGGCGCGCCTCTCGTCAGAGCGCGCGCTCACTATCCGGCGCCTTGCAACATCGTTTAGAGCGGGTGCGCGCGCCCCCGTCAAGCGATTTCAAAGGATGCTCGGTCTCATGGCCTCAGCATCAGCTGTACTCCAGCTAGGATTGTTGCACATGCGTCCTCTCCAACGCTGGCTCAAAAGCCGTGTCCCCACTCACGCGTGGCGCTCGGGCCACTTTTTAATCAGAGCGAATCACGGCTGCATAAAAGCCCTGACGCCCTGGAAAGCTGTCGACTGGTATCAGTCCGGCGTGAGTTTGGGCGTGAACACAAGGAGAAAAATGATCACGACAGATGCCTCCAAAATAGGCTGGGGGGCCCTTTACGAGGGCAGGCCTGTCTCCGGCTTGTGGTCAAACCCGGAGAAGCGCCTACATATAAACTGTCTGGAATTGAAAGCGGTCGCTTTGGCTCTCAGAGCCCTGCTCCCGTACCTGAAGGACGAGCACGTCCTAGTCCGAACGGACAACAT